ACCATCTGACCAGCGGGGCCTCCCAACAACCACTCACATAACTGTATTGCTGGGAAGATGTGGCAATGTTTGGAGGTTGGGGTCAGGGTTTAGTAGAGGAAGTATATCATTTGCTTCTGATCAGTAGTGATCAGGGATCCCAGTATATTGTTGTCTTCTATTTATTCACAACAAAGATTTATCTATTAAAAAAAATGTCTCTATTTAGGCAGCTTAAATAAACTATCATAAACCATTTGGTTTGTATGCAACGAATACTTATTTAACACAGTTCTTAAGGCTGTGGACTCTATGATCAAGGCACCTGAGTACAGTGTCTGGTGAGGGCTCTCTTCCTCCGTGGCAGCCTTCTTTCCACTCCAACTTTGCATGGCATAAAAGACAAGGGAAATTTTTCTAATTTTTCTTATATTTGCTAATCTTGTTTCCAAGAACTCCATTTCATGACCTAGTCACACTAGTTCCATGAGAATCATTTTTTTTAAATATTTGAGAAAGATTTCTTATTTTAATTCACCATATGATGTGTGCATGCATGCATCTACATATATTTATAAATATTTACGCGTATGACAGTTCCACAGAAGGAGCAGAATGTGCATGGCAGTGTCTTGAGCCGTTCCATCATCCAGCGCTGTAGTTTCTACTCTAGATATGAAGACACTGGGGCTTCAGGAAGTTAACTCTGCTGTTCAGTTATAATTAAACGCCATGGTATTAAAGCCTGGACAGGAAGGAACCTTTACTCTTTTGGATCCTGGTCTTTGTGGTCAGCCAGACTCCTAGGAGTAACTGAATTACTAATGCAAGACAGCTGGAGATGGGGAAACTTTCCATTGCCTCATGGGCCTAAATTGGTGTCTGCCTTAGCGCTGAGACTCTCTCCTTTAAATTGCCCCTTCAGGACATGCAAAAGATCTGTCTGACTCCAGAGAACACAGTGGAAAAAGACAAGAGTAGGTGGAGGAGATGAAGTAACAGTGAAATTTTATAGATCATGGGGCTATTTGGAAAGATGTAAAAGACAAGATTTAAAATATAATGGAAAGTTTTAAGAACACGTGTAAATGACATCCATAATACTTCTACTGAACTATGAATTATCAAAATCCCTCGTGAAAACTAAGGGAATGGAGAGTAGGCATTCATTATTAGCAAGAATGAGATTCTATTTGTTTTGGAAATCTTTCATAAACAGCCAATGTAAATACCTGATAGGAGTTGATAGCTCAACCAGTTTGTAAGACACCATTGATGAGAAGCAAGGGAAAAGACTATGAGAAAAAAAATCATCATTAAAATGTCAGTCATTATAAAAGCACCCAAATCTGAGAGCATTCTTCCATTCCTATGATGCTCATGAAAGCAAACTCAAATTCTTTAGCTTAGTCAGAAAATGCTAATTATTCAAAAATATTTTTTTATAATTCATTACAACAATGATTCAAAATCCCCAACATAAATGACCATCACTAAGTGGTAATTATACAGGTGACTATAACAGGACCCTGACTCACTACAATGCATTGTGAAGCTGGAGTTGGATAAATGGCTCAGTTGATAGAGTGTATGTATGCTCCTTAGGTGTAGGAACCCGGGTTTGAATCTACAAATAACACAGACAACAGAGTATAAAAAAAAAAAAAACAAACCTGAAACCTCAGTATTTATATGGTGAGATGGGAGACAGACAGGAAAGCCCTTGGGAGTTCCCAATACTCTTAAGCTGTCCATACTTTCATTTGGGCACCCCCACACACTAACACACGTGGTCACAAATACATGCACTCACATACCATATACATGCACAAATAAATTGCGAAGCCTGAAGTCAGTGAGTGGGTGTAACCTGAGGGCCAGGCTTGTTGGGGTTTCTGTCCTGCCCAGTTCCCATAGCTGGCAAGTCCCAAAAATCACACAGAGGTCTCCATAAGTTATAAACTGAATGGCCCATTAGCTCAGGTTTTGTATTAGCTCCTATAACGTATATTAGCCCATTATTCTAGTATATGTTAGCCACAGGGCTCGGGACCTTTTTCAGCGGGGTAGATCACATTCTGCTTCTTCAGTGATCTGGGCAGGACTGGAGAGGAATGGGCTTCTTCCTTCCCAGAATTTTCCTGTTCTCATGGCCCGTGCCTCTACTTCCTGTCTGGTTGACCCGCCTACACTTCCTGCCTGGCCAATCAGCATTTATTTAAAACATGATTGACAGAATACAGACAATTCTCCCACACCAAGTGGGTAAGTTGGGTGAGGAAACAGACAAAGCACATCTCCATGTTATTTCAATAAAGAAGATTTAGTGATGGCACAGTAATTTAAAGCTCTTTACTGAAATAAAAAGAGAATGGGATGGGATGAAAGGTATTCATATATGGAAGAAGGTACTAGGGATGAATACTAGTGAATCTAGTCAAAGAGGGCTGCTGAGGTTATGGACTAACCTTATTCAGAATCGGGATTAATGACTGCAAAGACAGGATAAGACACAGAAGTGCTTTCTGTCTGTATACACACATATACATATATAGACATAACACACCTACGTTACAGTCTATGATGAGATGGTAGAGAAGTCAGAAGAATCCTTAGAAGCTTACAGGCCAACTAGTCTGGTGTACATGATAGACAGAGACAGACGGATAGACAGGCAGGCATGCACACATGCACATGTGCGTGCGCACACACAAAGAAAGACAGAGAGACGGAGAGAGAGACAGAGACAGAGAGAAAGACAGAGAGAGAGACAGAGGGAGAAACAGAGAGAGAGAGAGAATGGCAAATTGATGGGAGAACGATTCTTAGCTGAGACTCTTTGCCTGTGTAGTAGTCTAGTCCTAAGTACAACACTTGCTGCACCTGAGGGTGACAATATGCACATCCAAGGACTGTGGAGTCTGGGACAACACAGGCACTGAGGTTTGACACCTGCACAGAGAATTCCTACTCTGTCAAACAGTCACAGACACCATCTTCTGCTTGCTATGCCAAATCCCACTGCAGAGGCCTTCTGTCTAGACCTCGACTGGGCCAACCAAGCAATGTGAATAAAAGGGATGGAGCTCAGCAACCTACGAGTTCACTCAACAATGCAAAGAATGTTCCACTTTATCTCAGTAATTCAGGCTTTAAGAGGAAGGAGTTAAATGGACAATTAAAACCGAATATTTAGCAGTATTCATGACATAGCTGACACCATGGAGTGGCTGCATTCTTTTTCTGCTATTCACTTAAGCAAATGTCATGTAGTTTTTATTTTGTGACCCAATAATTTTGATGTAATAATGTGAACATATGAAGGAGACAAGATTGTATCCCAATGAATTAAATGAATGAAAAGCTGAAATCTCGGAATTTGTCGGGCATAACGAGTATCATATAATAAAGTCATCCCCAAGAGAGAGAAGCTGGCTGGAATAATGACACGTTGCCTTCTGGCATTGAGTGCCTAGTGAGGTTGAGCTGCGGGAATGATTTGAAAGGCAACAAAAGGCAAACTGCGTATTTCTTCAAAAACTTAGATTATTAGATATTTTTATTTGTAGTTTTGGATTCAATTTTTTGGAAATGTGCAAAATATAAAAACGATGATCATACATGTAGAAACATATAGGTGCATCTTTTGCATGTTTATATGCATGTATGTCTACCTATTTGTCCTGTGTAACCTATTTCTTCCTAAAAGCATAGTCTTCCTCAGGAGCTCAACAGGTTTTAAAGCCTTATTACTGGACAAACTTTAGTTTGTGAAAAGGTGGGGAGGGGATAAAAGGAATCACACGTTCGAGAGATAAAGCCCCAAGGATGCCAAGCTGTGAGAAAGTTTCTGGAACACATTAGATCCTTGCTGTGGGACGATGATCTTGTAGCCTGTAAAGATTTATCAGTTGTATTGCTTTAATAAAATACTGATCTTGAAATGTTGAAATGTTGGAAATGTGGATTATACTCTTTTATAACATGTGTGGGTAAATGTTATACTTTTATTCGCATATAATCTAGGCAACCTTGTACAAGATTGGTGTTTTTTTCATATTCATTTTTAGAAAGAATTCTGACAGTTTTTCTATCTATTTCTATTAAAGCACCTCACTGACATTTGATATGTTCCCTAAAATATTAACATTCTATGTCCTGGATCACCCACCATTTCCACGTAAAGAAAGTTCAGCCAGCTTCATGCAAAGAAGAGCCTGTTTTAACAGCACTGCTCTGGAATTTCAGCTTCTGTTGGATCATCAATGAACTGATCACATACTTTCAGGAGTTGTTAACTTCAGCCACTGTGTCCATAAGTGTGTGGATATGGTCAGGATGGGCAAACCGTAACAGAGATACTTTTAGATACATTCGCATATTGACATTGCCACACACCTATGGATATTTTTGTTGTTGTAGAGTTCATGATGAAGCTAGTTATTTTCCTCATAAGAATCATCCTTAATTCTAACTACTGCCTCCTCCACCTATTCTCCCCCCCCCCCCCCCTCTCTCTCTCTCTCTCTCTCTCTCTCTCTCTCTCTCTCTCTCTCTGTTTGTGTGTGTGTGTGAGTGTGTGTGTGTGTTTGTGAACATGCATGCTCATGTATGTTTGTCTTTGGAGGCCACGAGTCAACATTGGGTGATTTCTTCTACTGTTGACTCCTCCTACAGTTTGCCTACATTTCATCTACTTACTGTGTGAGCTGGTAGACCCAGGAGTGACACACTACAAATGTGGAGGCTTGAGAACAGCTTATGGAAGCTGTTTTGTCTCCTTCTACAAAGTGTGCCCTAGGATTGAATTCAGGCTGCTAGGCTTGGCCACACACCTTAATTTGTTGAGCTATCTCATTAGTCACACCCACCCTTACTTTTGGAAACAAGGTCTCTCAATGAATCTGGTGTTTCCAGGAACTGGCTTCCCTGTGAACTCCAAGGATCCACCCTGTCTCTATCTCCCTGCACCTGCCTTATGGACATGTGTCACTATATCCTACTCTTATGTGGGAGGTGGGAATCTGAATTCTGGTTCTCACGCTGGTACACCTGGGGCTTTACCAAATAAGCCAGCTTGGTTATCCACACTCTTAACCACCTCATGATTACATGTTTGAATGCTGTCTTCAAGACCCATTTTCTGAGACAGCAAGGCTTTCCTCAGTTTGAGTGATAGTCCTGAAATATACTTCTCCTAGGTATGGAATGCTTCTTCTTTGAGCACTTTCTACACACAGTGTTACCTTCTCATTATTTATTATTATTATCACTATGGCTATCATTATTACCTTCTTATTATTGCCATTGGAGGCTCTTTAGGCTCCTCAACCTCAATACTGACTCCCATAGTCCACCCATGATTCCCACTCTACTAATTTCAATAGCAAAAGATCAACACTACTTCCCTAGACTTGGAGAAAGACTATAAATTACATACATTTTATTTCCTTGAATCAAACAGCCATCTTTGACTCCGCTCTCTCTCCCCAGTGATGCCAATTCCTCCTCATTTTCTCTTATAATTTCCCAATTAGACTTTGCTATTTGCTCTCACTGTACAATGCTACATAAGCCTGGGGCACCATTAGTCTATTTTAGGAACACTACAAATGACTCAGAACTATTCTCTATACTTTCCTAATTGCTAAGCCACCCACTGCAACTAGAACAAAAGTTTTATAAAACTTCAGTCCATTGCTATCTGGCTCCACTAGGGGAATGTTGCCTATTCTGCTCATGCGTACCAATCTGTGTTTAATATGTTAATTGCTAAGTTACAAGAAAATAAGAGAAGAATCAAAAAGTCATTTTATAGTTCACAAATATTACATTTTTCTATTGCCTTGTAAGAATGTCTTCAAATTTAAGACATTGTATAATTGAATGGTTTGACATTAACATAGCCAGAAATCATATATATCATACAAAATAAGCTCTCTACTTCATGTAATAATTATTATCCAGGATATGAATAATAATCTATCCTTATTATTACTTTTTTCTAATAGCAACATATGAAAAGACATAAACACAAATGGTCTGTGGTTGTACTGTTAGATCCATGTTTCGGAGTGACTTACATGTTGGCGTGTTCTGGAGAGAATACCAGGGACAAGGCCTGTGGGAGCTTTGACCTACAATAGACGTAAAGATTTTTTTTGATGTTTCGGTTGAATCCTCTAAAGTTCATTCCCTCAAACCGTGTTCTTCAAATTATTGGATATTTGTGCTTGAAGACAAGGCATTCGGAAGGTAATTTGGATGAAGGTCCTTCAGGATGGCAAGATTGTTTTCATAAGTGATGTGCACTGTTAACACGGCCAAACTCACCAGCTGATGCCCTCACCATAACACTGCATTAGGAAGTGGAAACTCATAGAGCATAAAGACAAAGGTAGCATCATCAGAGCAGAACTTTGAACGATTTGAAGAACAGAATTTACTTAGTGAGAAATACTAGGGGGAGCGATCAACAGTGAAAGGGATATCTGTAAGAAGACTAGCCCAGCCCAATAGGACTGCCAGCACTAACACCATTTGCATGATATGTGGATACTGCAGACAGTTGACCTGCAAGGTGGTCATGGCCATCAGGATAGAAACACGACCACATCGACCCTTAAGTGACTACATTTTATGGGTTTGGAGATGAGAGAAAAGTACAAACATTTTAATTAAGTATATCCAAGGAGACCCCTGCCCCCCCTCCCCCGGTCCAGGAGACAAGCCTTTAAGGTATTTTGGTAGAGCTAGAAATGGGAGTATGGGGTTAAAAAGAGAACTGTGAACACTTCATACAACTTCAGTATTTCCACTTAATTATCTTTAAGTCAAACAGTGTGAATATGCAATTTTCAAATTTCTCCAAGATCATTAAGTGGATTTCACACACTCTGTCTAATGTGGCTATATCTTGCACCTTATCGTCCATCTTTTCCTAGACGTGATTGGACCTCCATTCTGAGTATCCACACTACGTATGCTACCTGCCTGCTAGTCACAAAGCAGATGCCATGCAAAACAACATAGGAAAGACAGTGATGCACTAACAAAATAATTTACCAAGACACAAATACATAATTTATTGAAATATACTCCAATAAAACAGTGAGTGAGCTTCTAGAGAGAGAAAAAATCATGCCACTCAGAGAAGCAGATGGTAGTTACGTTATTGCAAGTAAAAGAGAAATCACTTAGTCTTTTTATCATGGAATTCACATGTTGGCCCAAGTCTGAGGGGTCAAATGGAGCTCTTGGTACTGCTTCTAAGTAAGTTTTATAATAAGATTCATGTTCTAAAGACTTGCCAGTAAGGAGTTGAGTCTTTCTCTATCCCACCAGCCAGCTCCCAAATAATGACCTGGAGGTTTCTTATTAACTATGAAAGCTCAGCCAATATTTTTGGCTTGTTCCTAACTAGCTCTTATAACTTGAATTAACTCATATTTTTAAATCTCTGTTCTGTCCCATGGCATTAGCTTTCTTCCATCTTGTTCCTCCCGTTTCCTCTCCATAGCTGACTGGCAGCTCTGCCTTTTCCTTCCCAGAGTCCTCTTCGTCCCAGGAGGTCCCACCTATACCGCCTCCCTAGCTATTGGCCATTCAGCTTTTTATTCCATCAATCATAGCAATAACATTTTCACACAGATTACAAATATCCCACTACACTGGTCTTTTGTGTGAAGTGCTGTGAGTATTTAAGGGTTAGGCTCCAGATGTCAATGTAAGGCATGTTGGGACACTAGGGAATGAGGCTCCAAATACTTATGTCTGAATTGTTGAAGTGTGGGGAATTTAGTTTCATTTGTCTTTTCTGTTTTGAGAGTGGTGATCAGCTATCAAATTCACTGCTGTGGTACTGCAGTGATTCTATTCTAGTAGCATGCATGTTATTCAATACTGGTCCCAAAGCATACAAACTGTCATGCTGACAAATCTGGACATGCCATAGGAGTGCTTTCCAGAAGCGCAAATTGTCAACATTCTCAGGAAGAAGAAGAAAGATCTTGAAGAAGTGGGTAAGATCTTGGGTTAAAATAAATCTTCCTTTTGTGTATCAAATAGTGGTGGAAGAAAAAGGAAACTCATAATAGTTTTGGTGTCATGCACACAAGGATAATAGTTCTGCCCACAGTTTGTGACAGGTGCTTCCTCAAGATGGAATAAGGTATTAAATTATAGTATTTATCATTTTCTGAGATCCTGGGCTAAACAGAGTCTGCAAAGATTAGACCTGTACAACTATAATAATTATATAAATCTTAACATTTCACTTCCAAAAGACACTCATTTTCTCACACGCAATGTCAATTTAATCAACTAGTGATTGTCTTCAGTAGAGAGTTTAGGAGAAGTTGGCCCTGTCTTGCTCCCAAATACCAGCTGGCATTTGTGTCCTAAATTTAATGCTGTGAGTTCTATTTGGGCTAGAGAGAAAAGAATCCTCACTAATGATACCTTCTTGTCTGATAAATTATTTCATTTAGAAATTCTAAAGCAAAAGAACAGTCATGAAGGATGGGATCTACATTTAAATAAATAAGGGGTTATTTTGCTCCCAAAAGTTTTCATTCCAATGACTGATCAGATCTCACACGTCGGCTTAAAGATGTCTGCCTTGGGTCATTACTAAATGACAGACTATGATAAACTGGATGACAGGAACAAGACAATGCGGTATTGTTTACACAGAAGATTGAGTAACTGGTTAGACAAAGACGTTCTCGAGTAGCTATTGTATGTACAACTAACAGATTTACTGGGGCTTTTAGAATCTCTTCAAGGCTCTTTTCCAGCCAGCTTCATTAACTTGAAGTAAATCAAATCATGCAGGAATCGGGCTCTGCCACAAAGAAACCAGGAAGAAGAATATGAAGAAAAACAGACGTGAGATGATAAAGTTTAGAATCTTTGGCATTTTTCATAAAACATTTTGTTAGAAGGTTATTAAGTTACAATGCAGAAACAAACAAAGAAAGAAGTAAACATAAGTAAATTCCATCTTTTCGCTTCAACTTCTCTTTATAATATATAACTGTATATATATATATATATACAAACATCACATAGCAAGTATGTGTCAAGGAAATACAGATTTTAAAGCTTATATATAATTTTAACACAATAAGATCTGTATACATTTTCTACATGCACAAAATTAATTGTTTTCAAATTAGCCGGGTGTGCTGTGGAGTTGTTAGGAGCTCAGGACTCATACGCATGCTATTTAGAGAGGACTTTTTGGTGGTTGTTTGGTATGAACAGGGCTTTGAAATGAAATTGTATTGTCTTTATCTTATTTTGACCCTGAGAAAAACAAAAGACAAATTCAGACAGCCAAAAGCATGTTAACTGTCTGCTTACAACATCGGGTCACTGAAATGACTGTATTTCACCAAGTCTCTAAGTAAGTCCCTTCCTACGTTCATATTCCTAAGTACTTCCTGCATTTACTAATTAGTCTCCCCCAACCCGCATCATCTCTGCAAGGATGCATACTGACATCTGGTTTTGGTAATACGAGAAAAGTGAAGTTGGAGGAAATGGCATTTTCCCAGCAACAAAATATTATCATTAAATCCTTATTCTTCATTGGGACCGTCGGTGACACCCCTTGCCAACCACAGCTGAAATGCCATCCAGGCTGGCATCCATTACTGAACGGTCATCAAAATCATGACCATGACTTGAGGAATCACAGCTGATTCCAATATATTTGGGTTAGTTCTAGACATCACTAAATGTTCATGTTCTAATGCACATCATCTGGATAGATAAACGGTGGCAGAATAATCTGAAACAAGTGCAGGGGGTGGGGGTGAGGGTGAGACCGGAAAGAACCTCACCTCTGTGGATTGCCGCATTTTATGACAGAACTATGTAACAGAGCAGAGACTGGAATGTTACAACTCTTGGGCTGGCACAGAGCTTGCGACTGTCCTGCCTTGGCTTCTTCATTGTTGTGATTGTGAGCCACACCAGCTCCAGACGGAAATGACTGTATCTTAGTGAAAATCTGCTGACGGTATTGAAGTAAGTTCAGCATCATCCTAGAATCAGGTGAGTCTCCTGTTTGCTCTCACGGACAGAGTTCAGCTCTGTGGCCACCTTGTTTTATGTCTTTCCTACAAATGGATGAGAGACTCTCACAGTCTTAGACTTGGTGACTTTGGTTGAGCTGACTGTGTAGGCATCAGGATACCCATGCATGGGGACATATGTGCAGGCTTGTGCGCATCCGTAGATGTGAAGAGAGTAGAGGATGATGAGAGAGCTGCACAGAGCACCCATTTCCAGGCACCTCCATACCACTGGAGCAACCCCAACGGAGGTCTGATCAGCTACACGCGGGAGCCTGGGGTCCTCAGTCAGCGTGAGCCCTAGACGGTACTCCGCTTCTTCCGAAGTGGGCTGTGGCTGCCACCGAGCTTCAGCTCTGCATACTGCACCTGTGAAAACAAACAGACATGATGCTGGCAGTTAGGTAACCCTAGCTCGCCACAGAGCGTGTTAATGGCTCCCCGAGGACACGGCAAGGCAAAGGAAGGAAGGAAGGTTCAAAGGCAATGAATCATTATTTAAACACAGGACCGTGGAGGGGATTAATTGCAGGAAGGCTTTCAGAAGTCATGCATCATTCCTTGAAACCAAAGTATTAAAAGCAGATTTCTCTAATGGGATGCATGGGCTTCTATGGGCGTCGGAACTGCTGCCCCTGATCTTGGTCTTGCTCATACCAGCTTCCAACCGTAAATAACCTAATAACTACTTTTTGGGATTGTTGATCATATGTTATGATACGACAGCTTACTGAGTATTATTCCTTTCAAAGTACGACAATGGTGGGGGACTATTCAGGCTCTTACCATCATTAATTTTACCTAAGAGGGGGCAAAATATTGAAATGGGTGGTAGGTCCCAAACTTCTGTAGATGTCTTAAAATTAACTTGACTATACTGTAATGACTGGAACATCTGTGATAAAGATGAGCCCTTGGGGAGTCCCCAGAGGCACACCGTCATTGCCATTAAAAGGCACCAAGGGTGGGGACAGGGGCGCTCATGCTAATGCGTGGAGGACTCTCTTTCAAATTGTTACCATATGTATCTCTCTGTAAATACACCAAGTATACCTGGGTGAACACTCCAAGGGCTGTTGCCAGGACCGTGGAGAGACGCAACTGATGGGGAATGTCTAGTCACAGATGCTGTATGGACTCACACACTGTAACCCCAGTGACGGGACATTGCAAGCATAGTGTTTTCATGTGTAGCTCTGGTAGGCTGAGGGTAGAATGCATTTATGTTACCGGACACATGTGCTCCCTACTTTTAGCATTTCTGCCAAATTCCCCAAAGATGTTATACCTATACTTCCATTAGCCTATGCTTTGCCACAACCCTCTAAACAAAAAAACAAATATATCCTTTCCATCCTGAGTTTCATCAAAGTCCCCAGGATAATAGAAGATACTATAACTGTTGATCTTAAATGCAGAACACACAAAGGCCACGCTATTATTTCTCAATTATGCCATGTAAAGCTAGAGAGTAGATATATCTGCAGAACAGATTTGATGCTCACTGATTTGAACAGGTTTATGTCATGATGTAAAGTTTCTGCTGTTGTTGTTGTTTTGTTCGTTATCTTTGTTTTTTTTAAAGCACCACAGAGTCCATTTTCATCTGTAAAATGTGGATGAAAGGGGGAGGGGCCCTTGAGACCGCCAGCCCCATGTGTCTCTAATCCACCTGAAGACACTACACTGGGAAAGCAATTATGCTACATTGGCTCCATGAGAAAATCGATACTCGAATTGGGGTTCTCCTTGAAAAGAAAAGGCTGTGCCTTTGATCATCTTGATGATGCTTCATGCCACGCTATCCCCCTTTACCTATTCAGTGGTCACTCTTCTCCATTAGTGGAAATGACAGCCTGCCTGCCTTCCTCTGGCTTTGGTGCAGGCAAGTTCGCAGGGCCCTGGATGGGGCCGCCATTCTTCGGGACTTCCTTTCACCGTTGCCTTTGTTAATCTCTGTGCATCCACAAAATTGGGACGCTGCTGGACTAAGTGAGCATTACCTGTGAATAATACTTGCGATTGATCTCCAATTTGATTTCCCACCACCACTTCTGTGTGGATCAGCGTACGGAGGGCCTTTGCCCTCAGCATTCCTCTGTCTTTAGAGGAAAGGGGATAGAGGGCAGGCTGAAGAGATAATTGGGGCAAGAAAGGAATAAAGAGAATAATCCTCTTGTCTCCTCTTTCCCTGAAAATGCCCGCCATCTGGAGAGCTAAGAAAATAAGCAGGGTCTCTCAGCACAGGATCTCCGGCGCCTCCTCCAAGCTCATCTCAGTCTCTTCAGGGAGGCGAGCCATCAAAAGGGGACCGATGCTGCAGCCCATAGCTACTCAGTATGAGTTCCGGATTCGTTCCTAAGTAGCTCTTTTGCAGGATAATTTCCCCCAGTCGTCATATCCTTTGGACCAAGGGCTGGCTCTTCTCCCCCACCACCTCCCAGGAAGAATGCTTTAGGGATTTTCTGAGTCCTCGTTTCAGTCTCTCACACAACCACCGCCATGCGCCTGTCCAAATCACTAGGACTGGCAAGAACTCAATGCTGCTGCCCCTGGGGGTGGTGACCAATCATCACCTACCTTTTGAACGTCCGAGGGCACCCTGGAGAGAAAATCCAGCAGCTCATTATTGTCGATGGAATAAGGATTTCGAAGCTTCTTAGTAAATTTATTTATGCCTACAAAACAAAAATATGATGTGTTTATTGTTCATATCTACCCATCTATCCATCTATCCAGTTATCCGTCTCCCTATCCATATGTCCATCCTCCATTTATCTATCTATCTATCTATCTATCTATCTATCTATCTATCTATATCTGTCTATCCATCCATTTATCTGTCTTTCTGTCTGTCCGTCCATCTGTCCATTCATCTATCTATCTATCATTTATCTATCTACCCATCTATTTATCTGTATGTTTGTCCATCTGTCCATTCATCCATCCATCCACCCATTGTCTGTCTGTCTATCTATCTATCTATCCATCCATCCATCCATCCATCCATCCCCCCACCCAACTGTCTGTCTGTCTGTCTATTTATCTATCCATCCATCCATCCATCCACCCATCCATCCATCCATCCATCCATCCCCCCACCCAACTGTCTGTCTGTCTGTCTGTCTGTCTGTCTGTCTGTCTGTCTATCTATCTATCTATCTATCTATCATCTATTTATTCTCCATCTCTATCTACCTATCTACCATCTATCTTTGAAAACATGCCTGAGTGGGAGAAGGAGAGATACCCACAACTACAAATTAGTGTGAACACAATCACTGTACTTCTAGCTGTACACATGTTTCTGTCACATGACATCATTCACAAAAACTTTTTCCTGAACTGACGGAGGGCTGTGCTGTGAAAAGGGGACTCTGCCTTCTTCAGCTGTGAAAATCCCATTACAATCCCAGCAGCAGGACTGCAGAAACATGCACTGAAATGGGAGAACCGATTGGCTCTTTGGGTAAGCACCGACTAAGAGCCTCCTCTGCTATGGAGACAGATGTCCCAGAATGGGAAAAGCCCTTTACTAGTCAACACAAGTCCCTGCTTGGATGCTCCGGACAATACATAGCTGCGGAGAGAAGAGGGTGGGAGCTTCAGTGGGTAGAAAGAAACTCCAGCAACCGCTCTCCCTCTACTCCTTTTCCCAGGATCCTCTTTTCTCGCAGAACACAGCTTGACACGTTGATTGCACGTTGCTGGCAGAAACTGTGAAAAGTTATTATTGGAAAATTATCATGCTGTGGTGACTAACTTCATTTACGGACTGCAACGCTGCCACACATGTTTGTCCAAGCAACTTCGCATGGGGACAGTAGCAATTAGAATGAGCTTCAATGTCCAAGATGCCAAGTGACCATGCAGCCTCTGTCAATCTTTGGCCGGGCATATGGATTTCTGGGCATGCCCAGAACATGGATTCCTCTGCAGACAAAGATTCCTCCCATCCTTCTTTTGTCTTCTACTCTGCTCCTTGGGGTGCCTCTGCCTTATCCAGATCTCATAAGCTATAGTCTTTTCACCAAATGTCAACCCCCCCCCTTTTTTTTTCATGTTGAGTTTTAGAAGCAGAAAGACTAGGTGGCTTTCTGAAGTTTTGCCACAGGGTGCTTGTTTAACAAGGAGCGTATCTGAAGGCCCGCCTGTCCCAATGATGCTGAATGAAAGCTCAGCTTAGTTGTGCTCTGAATGGCTCCTACTCAGAAGCCAAGTTCAACAGTCCCCATCACATAAAAGGTTTGATGTTTCCCTTTGTTCATTAAATATGACTTTGCCTTCATCTAAGGACTAGACTTCCTGCATGGCATTGTACCTGACACAATGACACCCTCCAGTCCTTTCTTTGGGGGGTCAGATTTACATCTGCTTTGCAAATGGGAGCAGGCCATTGTTCATGAGTAAATGGTGGCTTGGTGGTTGGGCGAGGGTAGGATCTCAGTAATGTTCCCCCTTTCCTTCAAGTCAAAGCTGCACTCTGCCTTTCTTCCCTGCACCCCCACAGCAAGCTTCGTGTTTGGAACTAAAATTCCCCCCCAGCGTTCCTTTAAACTAAAACACTCTCACTGTGTTATTCTAAAGACATTTAATTGTAGCATGGGCTCTTTGGCAAAAGAAAAACAGACAAGGCAAAGTGATGAAGGGAGACAAAGACGTATTGAGAAAAGATGTATCTTCTATTGTTAATTATATATAGTGTGCGCATCTGGAGCCTTTGCAACGAACAGCAAGGCAGGGATAATATCACAGCCGATCAAAACACTGCATTCTTAGTCACTGGGAAGATTACAAACCTGCACAGCGGCTCAGACGCACCCGGAAAGGCAGAAGGAGTCCACAATGCAGTGAGACTGACTACGTTTGAAACACTTGGAATAAAAATCACAAGGTATTCAGCTTGCATGCTTCAGAGTCATAGCTCGTTTTTTAAGGTATCTTAGGTTTGACAATTTCAGGTATTCTGCTGAATTGTCTATTATGTGAGATCAAGTATGAAGAGGATATCACAGACCTCTTGGCCAACTTTACAGGGTAATAGGGCAATAGCAAAGGGACAGGCATACCTGGCCTCCCGCTCTAGCTTCCTAACGTGTTAACCACGATTGCAGGTATATCACTTAGTTCTCCCGGGTCCAAGATTTTTAACAACCCGATCTTTGTAACAAAATCTTTCCCTCTAGTTTCCAGGTTGATGATAGAAACCATGTTGAATAATAGAGGCAAGGACGTTCTAATCTGCAATCAACCAACAATAGAGCAGAACTAGAATTGGGACTGTAGATGCCACTTAGGTAATACCCCAAGAAGACAGTGACAAAAAAGGTCTTTGTGCCACTATGAATTATAGGCACTGTTTCGGGAGCACATATCCAAACATGGAATTTGTATCTTCATCCAGTGAATACTACTCATAATGCTAGATATGTTTTTGTTTGTTTGTTTTTCAAGACAGGGTTTCTCAGTGTAGCCCTGGATGTCCTGGAACTAGCTCGTGTAGACCAGGCTAGCCTCAGATTTACAGAAATCTGCCTACCCCTGCCTCCCAAGTATGGGATTAAAAGCATGTCCTACCACCGCCTCTTCTTCTTCTTCTTCTTTTTTTTTTCAACTGAAATGATACAGATAGTTCTCTGTTCTTAATATTGTTAGTCAAGGGGTGGGGAAAGAGTCAAATTTTGGGGTAGAACATATGGTAATAAAATTATTGGTGAATGGCCCCAGACCATACAACATACGGATCAGTGAATGGAGCTGAGGCCTCCAATAGGGAAAAAGAAATCACTTGGAGAAATTGTGTGTCTGCTCTGCATTATCATGACACAATTACAACCACGTGGCATAGAATGCCACCGCCTATCAAGTATACCTGAGGACATTGTGCACAGTCCCAACTACCAGCACTTTGGTTGAGTGTAAGTCAGAGAAGCCACTCTTATCCTCTCAAATCCTGAGTTCCTTTCTTGTGACGATACCATGTTCTTGAATGGAAATACAAGGTGCGTAGGTCATCATCTCTTCTTACAAAAGACTCAAAATGTAGCATGAAGAGTTTCTATCTACCTTGCAGCAACGGAAGTGTCCGAGACCAGAACTGATGGATAATCATGGCAACAACCATGATAAAAAACAGTATCAAAGTAATTAGGGGAAACATCTCATAAGGAACAAAAAGCAGGCCTAAGATTGAAGAGTGGAAATTGTGTGATCCTCTGGAAGTGTATATATCACACAGGTTAGCAAAGTTTCACAGAGACTTCCAGAAATGTGTGTATCTTACAAGTTAGCAAAGACCAGTAGAAAAGCTTCCTAAGGACAATTTCAGAATGTCTTTATAACTGACCCTTGGTGAGAATTCCCAAAGTCCCGCTTCCAAAATAAAGAAGTGGTGGGTGCCACAGCAGGTCACTTTTAGAGAACACAACTGTGAACATTCAGAGTCAATTGTTCCTGTTTCCAACTCTTTCTTACATAGTGTTTACACCCAGATGTCTACACTACACACCACAGAGCCAAAGCACAAGAGCAGTGTTTCCCCTGTCAAAACCTCATGGTGAATTTTCCGAGTCCAGTAGTATTTCCCATGAGAGTTCTGAAGTTAAGCTGTTTTCATAGGTTTATGTCAAATCATGTCTGTGCTTGAAATGCATTTACAAAAGTATTTACTGTATAAAATATGAAACCTAGTGCATAAAATTTGGTTAATTTTTCCAAAGGGATAAAGACATCAATTAGTGTTTGATACTAATTCATCTGGCTTAGCAATCAACAAAAATTAACGGGTAATCTTAAGAATAAGACATTGAAACCTTAACAAAGTTAGAAGGAGCAATGAACGTTTTAGGTGTGTGTGTGTGTGTGTGTGTGTGTGTGTGCGTGTGTGTGATTTTTTCTTAGTGACAGGGTATGAGTCTATTAGAGGATTTAGTCATTTAAATGACATGTAAGAGAGGAATATTCTCTGAGCTTATGCTAACTAATACCTAACTCATAACTAATAACTAACTTGAGGAAGGAGAGATTATAATAGAACTACGAATATATTTCAAAATGCAATGTGTGTCTTGCATAAGGAGAGGAGGCAAGCAACTATGTATTGATGTTTTAAGCCTTGGACTCCATTACCAATTAGTAAATTCATCAATAAATTATCAACTATTGTCTATCATGTAGAAGTAAGCAACCAAAATAAAAGACTAGAGAGGTTTGTTTGGGACAAGAAGAGCAGAAAGAATTCTGCTCTGTTTAACAATATTAGCCACAAACTGAAAGCCAGGTAGAGAAATCTTTTATTAAGTTTATGCGAAGAGATGTTAGAAAGCTGCTAAGATACGAGAAGATGAAATCAGAAGTCAAAGTGATTTGGGAAAATAGAGGCACCGACTGCCAAAATCAACAATCAGAAGACAAAATAGAACCATGTAGTCTCTTCATATCTGAATGCCCTCCATAGCCCTGATTTAGAGAGCCAGGGATCAAAAATAGTAGCAAAAGAAATGTCTGTCCTGAACCAAGGCTGGCTTTTCCTTTGCCGGTCCCTAAAAATGGAGTATGACAATTATTTACCATATTTTATATAGTATTATATATTAGTAATCCAGGTGATTACTAAGGTTTTAAAAGACAAAGGAGAACAAGCATAGGTTAGAGGCAAATACTGTGTCAGTATACATGGAACTTACACATCTAGAGATGAGAGTGTTCATAGGATTCAGGCAAGCCATGTCTTGAGGAAATACAGGAAAGGCTGTTTCAGCCTTAATTGTTGAACAAAAGGAGCATAGAAGAATAATCAACTATGTATAACATTTAACAGCTGACCATGGCATTCAACTCAATGTGAACAAGACAGTAGCCAAAGGCTTATCATTATTAGTCTCTTCTGGTTAGAAGATAACATCTAAGTGCAAACAGTAAATGATATTGAATTTGAAAATGAACAATGAAGAAAGAATAAAATTATGCTTGCTATACAATGCAGCTGTGTTTCAAACTTCACACTTGATCCTCATTCATGCCCAATATTTTTAAGTCAAAACTCCCTGAATTAAAGGGAATTAGAATATGTTCTTACTCTGACTGGCTACAATGGAGAGAGCCGTCTACTAGATTTCATCTCCTAGGACACGAGGAGAACACGTCCTCCAGAGTCAACTAAGCAGGGCTCATGGGGGCTCACAGAGACGGAAGCAGCGATCACACAGCCTGCATGTGTCTGCACTAGGTCCTCTGAATATACATTAGGATTGTTGGCTTGATGTTTTGGGGGACTCCTGACAGTGAAAGTGGGAATTTCTCTGATTTTTTTGCCTGTTTGGGGGACCCTTTTCCTCCTACTTGGATGCCTCACCAGCCTTGACGCGAGGGCTTATGCCTGCTCTTATTGTATCTTGTTATGCCGTGTTCAGTTTATATTACCGGGAGGCCCATTCTTTTCTGGTGGGTTATTGGGACTGGGAATGATTCATGAGGAGAGTGGAAGTGAGGGAGGCTGGGAGAAGTGGAGGGAGGGGAAGCTGTGGTCAGGTTGTATGGTATGAGAGAAGAATAAATAAAAATGTTAAAAAAGAGAAATTCCATCTCCTAAAAATTATAGAGAATGACCATGCTACTCTCTGTACACACACTCCTTGCTGTTCTGTATTCTTACGAGTTCTTTCCTTTCTCCAATAACTCCTATTTCCTAATGTCCACTTTGGCTTTTCTCATCAGCAGGTTCCCTCCACCACCACCTTGGTAGAATTGCTTGATGGCTCTAGAAAAGGCTGCAGCTTTTATCTCCATTTCCCGGCTTTCTGCTGTTGCTTCCGAGCAAATGCATCCCAGCGGTCTCTCGTCTTCAGGACTTCCTTGAATGTCTTGACGTGCTAGATCCCAGGAAATGATGAGGATGGGGGATGGATTCAGCAACAGGCCTAAGACAAAGGCCCCTGGCTTCTCCATCAATGACGTGGGTATGCGTCATCCCAGCAAAGTTGTAGGAGTTCACAAAGAGGCTTCTGTTTGGTCCAGTTGCTTGCTTGACTGTGAAATCTAGTCATGAAATGGGTGCCAACCTGACCATTTTTCTTGTTGCTTTCTCCACGTGGCTAAAGTTAATGCAGGCAAGCCAGGTCCTCTGCAAACCATACCCGCCTCCTCTTTCACCCACTGCGTAGGTAGTCACAGATGTCCATCCCTCACCCCAGTGCTTCTGGATTTAACTATGAGGTTAGCTTATTTCTTCCCCGCAGTTGAAAGGAAGTGTGTCAGAAGTGGCGAGGCGGTGGCCAGACCCATTTTTACTGTCTGTAAAGGGCAAGACGCAGGTGTTTGCCCACTGTTTGAACCACCGTGCTTCTGGAAAGTTACTAGGGCACTGCCATATATTAGTCGAGGGGATTTACGACAGGGAAGCCTAAAGGGAAATAGGAAGCCTGATCACAGTTTCATTTGATTGTGATTCTGTACAGGGCTTATAAATATCCACGGTGAGCCCTTACGCAACTGGCCTTTGCGGAAAGGTCCTGGAAGTTTTCATTCCCCAAATGTTTTCCTTAATCTCATGTTTAATTGGTAACAAGAGCACGTTTAAAGTTTACGGTCGTACTTTAAAAATGAATAATTTGTCCTTACCTGGAACTGCCTGCTAGCAAAAAGGATCATGTCAGACTTACCCCAGAGCAGAATGATATACCGCAGAGGAATGAAATACAAAGCCACCGTGGCTATGACCAGAATCAAACAGGCCAGCAGGGAAAGAAAGGGCACCGTCCAGTTAAACATGCTGTGGAGAAACCATGTTAGTGTCAGTTTATCTGAGGCCGAAACCTGCCACACAGTCATCATGTCTCGTGTATTTCTGGTATAGCTATAAAATTGGATAAATTTAAAAAGGTTCTTTCAAGCACAGTGTATACATACATACATGCATACATGCAGACACAAACCTGTCTATGTGTGTATCTCTAATAGATATAACTTGAAGATAAAATTCTGCTAAACTTGAGAGCATACCCGACCGGGCACCTGTGAGATATTAATGAGGAGACTATCAGAAGATCAATCAGCACCGAACGTGTCAAAAGATCAGCAACAACCTCGAGCCACCAACCTCCAACAAAACCCTGTCCACGCTGCACTGTGCCTAAGAACGACATTCCTGCCATCGTGGCTTGGTGCCTACGTCTCTTAAAATGACATCTGAACACCCCGACACGGCGATCCAGGGAAGGGAAGTTCACAGCTGATATCAAAGGGCACCTGACTGGTGTGTTAGAAGAAGATAAATGAACTAACAAAGGGAAGCTGGCATGGCTATAACCATGTAAGTCACCGAAAGAGTAAAACCGCATTAGTTATAAATAGGTTACTTCTTAATTATTAATAAGATAATTCATAAAATAGCAACTTCAATGTGTAAAAAGAAAGAACTGAGAACCAAGGATATAGAAAGCCAAAAGCAACAAAATTCAAGAAGAGCAGTTTCTAATCATAGTAGATTGTTTTGACAGATTTCTAAGTAACTATTAGAGCAAGTCCATCAAAAAAACAGAGTACATACAAGATATGACCATGGCAATTTGAACTTAGGAAGTATAGTGATATAATACACCCAATCTCCTCACTAAACCTCCTTGAAAAATTATGGAAGTAAGCTATTGTTGGGTCAATATTTTCTGAACATGAAAGAATGAAATGATAGATAATATAGAAACAAACAGATGTACAGAAAATGTCCTTTGTTGCCTAAATTAAACAACCCACTTCTTGGTCAATGAAGAATCAAGATAAAAATCAGAAAATGGCATTTGCTAAAAGAAAATGATTATTCTTACAATCCAAGATGTCTGCCAGGAAATGAAAGCTGGGGTTCCAGCAGAGTGTGGAAGATTCTGTCTTTACACTAGTAAGAAAGATGGGCAATGAGTAATGTGATTGGCAAGTGGAAGAGAAACAATCACAAATGAAGATCACAGAGGGCCACAGAGACCTGAGTTCAAATCCCTGGTACCTGTGTAAAAAAGCCAGGCATGGCTACATGAGCCTGTAACTCTCTGGGGAGAGTGGAGGAAAGACAGAGTCCCAGGGCTTGCTGACCAACCAGCCCAGCAGAAATAACAAGCTTCTGGTTTAATGGCAGCCCCTGTTCAAGGCAATGAGGAGTTGAGCCATAGAATAAGACAATGGAAATTCTGCTCTGTCCTCTGCATATGACCATTACCCTACATATATGTACACACCACACACATTTATTAACACATACAAAATATAGAAACTAGTAGAATATTCAAATGAAATAAACTAACCTCTACTAGTTACAATTTATAGAAACATAAGTTAGAGAAAAATTACAGCTTAGTTACAATTTATAGAAACGTAAGTTAGAGAAAAATTACAGCTTACAGAAACATAAATTATAGAAAAAAATAAGATGACTATATATGACTCTATATCCTCTTATACATGACTATATCTCTCCTGATATATAGATATCATATATCATATATTTATATGGCTGTATCTATCCTGATATATGACTATATATATCCTGATAAGTATATGACTATAGATATATATGACTATATATCCTGATATATATTCATCTGCATATATATACATATATATGGAGAGCAGGAGATGAATATTTAATAAAACCTTAGAAAAACCTGTCCTCTCAGATGCCTCAATAATAAAGTCTCTCAAATATGAAGGGAAATATCAGCTCTCCACCTCCATGAAACACTTCCAGAGAACAAAGGAGGCTAAACACAACTGGAGCTTTCTATTCATGAGGAATTTTGAAGAACAGAAAACTAACTAGCCACAGTATTAATCACAGCTGTAAAATCTTAGGCATGTGTATATCATAAAATCCAGCAATAAAAAGGCCAAAAGTATCCCATATCACTGTATCATATAGCACAGAGGGGCTTATTCCAGGGTGGAGAGCTGGGCATCCCATCTTAAAAAAAAATCAACCACAAGACTTCATTACATTAGCAAAAAGATATGAGCAGGTACATGAATCACCCCCATGATTATGAAGAAAAAAATGTTTGACAAACTCAACTCATGCGCACAATGAAACTGAGAGACAAAGAGGCACCACAGGAATACATCTTAATCTTGACAAAAATTTATAGCAGAAGTATTCCCTCAGGGGCACTGTTAGAAACTTTCAATGTGACAGGGACAAAACAATCTCCACCAAAGGCATTCTCATCAGTGTTGTAGCTATGAACAATGCTCCAAACCAAACTAAAAGACACAGAGACTGTCCTGAGAGGATGACAAGGTTTCATATATGATAGGCCTAACTAACAGAAAATACAAAATCCCTTTCAAACAAGAACCGCAGTAAAAAAACATACCATGATTGTTAGGAATGACATCAGTGTAGGAAAATGTATTTGATTTCTAAACGCCAGGAAGAAACTGGTAGATATAAAATATAATTATAAAGTATAACAAACAAATCAATAACTTGGGAATCAATCTCTCCCACACTTAAGTGTCAAAACTCTAAGGTGGAGATGAAGATGGTGAGGAAAGATGGACCAGTTTGTCTGATCCTAACATTTGTGTGTACCCATGGAAAGTATGCATTGGGTTTGTATGTCAAAGGCCACAGTTCGGGTGGGAGTCTCCTATAGCACACCCCAGGTTGAATAACCTTGGTCAACACAGCTTTCCCGTCTTGAAATCTAACCATTTTCACAGACCTGAGTAGTTCTCCTGAGTTGGGAGGTCTCCACATTCTTGTCATGGGCAGTGGCGAGAGGAGGAGAGGAACTAACCTTAATAACATATTCTACAAATTTCAAGTCATTAGCAAAAGTGATTAGGACACCAGCCAGTAAGGTGGGTGCAGATCTCTTCTGTGTTCCCACCCAAGCTGTGTTGGAGTGAATTCAGGACAAATTCAGTGGTTACCTTTTTCCCTCAGGCTGGGACAAATGAAGCCCTCAGACACCTCCCTACTCTCTCAGTAACAAAATTACTGGCCACATGTTCCTGTAGATTTTTCTCTTACAGAGTGTCCAACAAGACGGGTCCTTAGCTTGGGCACTGTTCTCATGCCAGCTTGCCAATGTTCTTCTAGGCATTTGCCCTTTAGTTTCTGTTCCTTTAGATTCTCTCTGGGTAAACACAAAATGTGCAATTCCATTCTGCTGAATTCTCTGTGTTTCTAACTGCACGCAACTTGCTTTCTCAACACCACCACCTAGTAAGGACAGTCCTACTTTTTTATACAGGGGTGGCAGCCACACTCTAGATCAGTGGTTCCCAACCTGTGCGCTGCAACCCTTTGGGGATTGAATGACCATTTCACAGGGGTCACCTAAGGACCACCAGACAACATAGATATTTACATGATTCATAATAGTAGCAAAATTATAGTACGAAGTAGCAACGGAAATAACTTCATGGTTGGGGGTCACCACAACATGAGGAACTGTATTAAAGGGTCGCAGCATTAGGAAGGTTGAAAACCACTACTCCACACCCGCTGCAGAAATGAGTCCCTGTTTTATAATCTTATCAACTCTTTGAAGCTTTACTTATATGCTCAAGGACATGGGGTTGGAACCACAGTCCACAAAGGAACATTTGGTATTCTCAGCTCTTCAAACTACAGCCTGTTCTCTAGGAGAGTGTAGTACTGAGCAAGAGTTTCAGTGTGCTGTGTACACACATTTAAAGTTGGCATATATTAGAAAACATAATCAGAGAAGATAAGGCAGGAAGGATAAACACTGCTTCTCCCATGTGTAAACAGCGCCAGTGACAATCTTCTGGGCAGTAGCATAGAAGCCTTGCTCTAAGAGTTTCATGTAAAATGCTCCCTGTTGCCCCAAACTGGGTAGAAGTTTCCCTGGTTTGTAAGCACAGAACTACAATAGAATTCCAAGAGCATGACACACGACATCCCACTTGAATGCCCAGCAGGGACTTTAAGGTCACTGTAATAATGAATAGGCAAAGAATTAATAGGAGTTGAGCCCGATGAGCCTTCCTGTGTTGCAGCTGGGCACAAGAGTGCTCTGTTCCTCGCCTGTAAACACGTTCCGGGCATGGCCACCACAGCTGTGCTAGGCACAGCTGCCCCTCAAAAGCACTGTAGAGATGGGAGCCTGCTTAAATCACTCTGCCCTCTTCTCCCATCAGACGCACTTCCTTTTATATTGTCAGCGGCACAACAGCAACACTTGTGTTCTAGAGATGTCTAAGAATGAGACAGTTGTACCAAACAGCATCTTCCTTCCTCGGCCGTGCCCCCACTCCACATCCTCTTATCCTCCTGCCTCCCAGTATATTCTTCACTCCTTTTTTTTCTTGTTTTCAATGACCTTTCCTTCCTGTCCACTCAAGGTCTTTTGGGATGCGCCTCATCTCTGGGCATCATCACTTTTCTTCCTAGCCCTTGGACCCTGGTATCCCCTACCTCTTCCTGTATTTTCTCCAACAGTGGTTCTCAACCTGTAGTTGTGACCCCCCGAAGACCATCAGCAGAGATATTTTGCTACAATGGTAGCAGAACTACAGTTGTAAAGTAGTAATGAAAATAATTTTATAGTTGGAGTCAGCTCAGCATGTGGAACTGTATTAAAAGGTTGCCGCATTGGGAAGGCTGAGACCCACTATTCCACAGTGTTTGGATCTGGATCTACACACAGGGTGCCCATCTGCTGCAGCCCCCCACCCACCATTTGCTGAACTGCCTTCTCCCATTCCATGAGATGGCTTAGAAGCTTCTTCAGTCTTGCCTTCTAGCACATTCTAAGCCATCTTCTGTGCTCATCAAGCCTTCCCATAGTAGCAAGCCTCACTTTTATCTAGTAAAGATATACAATTATATTTGGCGATTACCAATTTTCTCCGTTACTGAAAAGAAAGCAATCCTTGGAGAGTGAAATTACTGTATAACAGTAACAGACGTGGGTTCAAGTCTGAGCTCTGAGGTTTATTAAGCATGATCCTGGATTACAAATTGAATTACTCTCTTCAGGCTGTACTAGCTGTTGGGAGCAGCGAGACCCCAGATCCTGAATTTCTTGTAATCCCCTGATCTGAGTGCCTACAGCTGCTCTGAGCACGAGACCTTCAGGAGTTCCTGATGGCAGGAGAGTGGTTTCTGCTGGGTTTGGCTGGGGCATGTCTATCTCTATATAATCTGCCCCTGAACACAATAAAGGGGCACTCTTGGGGCTTTGGTACCAGTGTTAAAAGGTCTGTGTGTCAGTGCGTCTCTGCGTCTGTGTACTTCAACCTCCAGCCCCTTGCCTGAAGCCCGGTAACTGGGTAATAGCGCACCGAGCGCAGACACGGGGGTGTGGGGTGCGGCACTAGCGAGGCTTACGATGCTCCACTAGAACTACTCCATTCAGCACTGGGCGAGTCTATAGAACATTCACTGTATAAATGGCTGTGCACAGTGGTCGGCCAGCATGCCACCAGCTGATGCTACTGTTAATCTGTCCAGCCACTATGTGCACCCTGTCATTCTCAGCAAGATAAGCTAATTATCCGCTCTCCTCGTTGTGTGGTACTATTCCATATGCTTTGCTCAAACATTTGCGGAGCTAATCTAAGGCATGATGTGTTAATCGTGCGACACCTCAGAAAATACATCAGCTAAGATGTCAGCATGCGTCAGCGCAAATCCTCACGTGCTAATCCCTTTTTCTTCAGATATTAGGAACGACAAATGCACCGCATAACTTTAATAAAACCCTGTCTATTTGAAAGGGTTTGTTTTTCAAATTTTACTATTCTTAATTATGTGCATGCGTGTGTTTGTATGTGCGTGGTTGTAGGTGTGTACAAGAGAGTGCAGGTGGCTGGTTTACAGGGGCCAGACATGTCAGAATCCCTGGAGCTGGAACTAAAGGCAGTTGTTACCTACCTACTGTGTGTGGGTCCTGGGAATTGAACCTGGCTCCTCTAGAAGAGCTGCAAGGGCTTTAAACCACTGAGCCCTCTCTCCAGTCCCTGAACATTGCTTTGCACTTAGTTGAACCCAAACATGCATTCAGCTAGATACACGGCTTATGCTTGCAATTGCAGTACTCTGTAGGCTGAGGCAGGAGAGCTGCTGTGAGTAACAGGCTCATTTGGACTGCATAGTCACGTCTGGCTAGCCTGGGTTACATAGTAAGCTTCAGTTCCACCAGTGCTACAGAGGGAGGATGGGTCAACAAAGCAGCAAGAACAGGAAAAACTACTGTGCTGATAGTAAAATTTTATTCCCTGGCAATGACTTTGAACTTCTAACTGCAAATGAACGGTATTCAGAGAAGACATTTATTATATACTCTCTGATGTTATCCATCACTTGGGATTTACCTGAATTTTTATGCAGAAACTTCTGCAGGGTATTTAACACTAGTTGAAATTTCATTTCTTCTACAACTTCAAAACTAACATCTTCTTCAGGCAATTAGAATGGATTACACAGACATGACCAATAGGATAAACAGTGACTTATAGAACATAAAAGCTATGGTTCTGGATCAGAGATGGAACAAAATCTATTTATAAACTACAGAAAACAGTAAATATTAATGCCATACCAGATAAAGATGCCCTTATACACATTAATACTACAGAAAATAAAACCAAAAAAAAAGTGAATCCTATCCTTACCTGAGCCTCCATTAGAAGAGTGAAGCCCTTCGGCCCAAAAATATATGATAGAACATGAAGGGCTAGATTTGAGGGATATACTCTGAATTTGAGGCAATGCATCCTGTCCCCCACCCCTCTCTCTTTTTCTCTTTCTTCTGGCTTGTTTTTTGCTTTTGTTTGTTTTTGCTTGCTTTGATAAAGAAAATTTTATGAGGCACATATTGTACCCATTCATTTATATAACAATAGTAAACAACAGAGTAACTGTGTCTTATTATAGTACACTTGGCCTACTAGGATGAACGATATTCTCTCCGGCATGTTAAAGAAAGTCCTCACCCTGACCCCGAGATATCCATGGAGGCGGGAAGGTAATTTCAAGTCACTCCACCTACGATACTACTAGTTGTGTACCATTTTGGGAGAAGTAAGAAAATTTATTCTAATGTTTACTGGATTCCGAGGTTCAGATTTAAAAACCCTTCAGAGCGTATTGGCTCCCATCTGATTTCTGAATAAGTTGAAATGGGGCGTTGTTAATAGCTGTGCTCAGAGAGACAGAGGCAGCACACACAGGGACTGCACGGATCTGCACCAGGTCCTCTGCATATATATGATGGCTTTCTGTGTGATGTTTTTTTTGGGATTCCTGAGTGTGCAAATGAGCAGATCTCTAATTCTTGTGTCTTCTCTTGGGATCTTTTCCTCCTGTGGGTTCATTTTTTTCCTGTTGGTTCAGTATGATAACTTCTGTTCTATCTTATTCTCTTTTAGTTTGTCATGTTTGGCTGTTAACTCTCAGAAGCCTGTTCTTTACAAAGGAGAGAAAGAAAGGGCACACATCCAGGTGGGAGTAGAGATGGGGGGAAGTGGGAGGAGCAGAGGAAGGGGAAACTGCAATCAGGATACATTATGTGACAGAGGATTATTTTCAGTAACAGGGGAAAAGAGTTGTGCTCAGACAACAGTGTAAACTGAAGTCATTTCTTCACCCCAGTCCTGAAGTACCCTGCATCTGAGAAGCTGCCAAGCCCAAAGGACGAGGCAGACAAAGTCACACCAGTTTGTGTGATGTCATTACTTTCCACATTGCTTACCGGCTCCCGTGCCCTCCCTCCCCCACTGTCCTGTGGGTGCCAGATCTAGTTTATACACCACCGCGCATGTGCAGAACTTACTTCTTAATCCTTTCTCCGAAGGAAGCGACTTCCTCCAAGATGTTCTGGGCAGTGGAAACAATATCTTGTACCATATAGATTCTCTCAATTAATCCCTTTTTCTCAGATTCCTAGGAAACACAAAAAGCAAGATGTATATTAGCTACTTAAAACCAAAACAAAACATTTATTTATAGAGAACAGCCACAGTTTCCAAAACTGATTATTGGTTCCAAGATATAAAGGCCAGTTAGTTCCCTCTTTTAGTTACTCTCGCTCCCACTGTGAGCTCCAGCCAGCTCTTCGGATCCAGAGATGGTAAGAGAGGGTCTGTGTCACCAGATACTTCAGGTCCCTGCAGAGAATTCTACAACCACTTTAGCATGGCCAGCTGGTGTCCCCTCTGTCCTTTGGGTATCTAAAGTACACCAAAGCCCTCCTCTAGGACAGTGCTCCAGACATGCACTGTCATAAGAGAGAACCCTTTGGAGGGACACACAATGCATTTCTGAGTACTGTGACTGCTTGTGCAAACTCTTCCATTTTAACCTTGTTTCTAACACACTGCAGACTTCCAGAAAAATGTCTGTTGTCCTTGGGCAACTGTGTCAGAAACAGAGCAGTGTTGGGAGAGCTGTTATAGACAGTTGGACTGCATAGGCCTGTTGTCACAGCTGTACTGTGATTTCTTCGTGAAGTCGGAATACTACATAAGCTTATCTTCCTCAGTTTTCAATTCTTTATGCAAAATGGAATTCTGTTGTCTGACTGTCACCTCTAACTTGTATATAGAAGATCTTCAATATATTTTACTATGCTCAGAACCTGTAACACTATAAATACAATTTAATGATCACTCAAATGCCCAAGGAAGGGAAATTCCTACATTGATATTTGTACACTATTTCTTCCCTTCTTTCCTTCTATAGTCTGTCTCTCCACATCGACACAAGCCTATTACAGTTGCTATATACAGAAAGGGTTTCTAGAAAACTTTTTCACTGAGAATGTTACTCGGGTTAGGGCTATGATAAACCACCATGTAGGCGATCAGTAGGGGAATACTCCTATGATATTCTCTATGCTAGAAAGAAAGAAAGAAAGAAAGAAAGAAAGAAAGAAAGAAAGAAAGAAAGAAAGAAAGAAAGAAAGACAAACGAACTCATTTTCATCTTCATCTTCCATTTCCGCCTCATTTAAATGAGGTCATGAACAGAATGAGGAAGCAAGCACCCGTGTGACGGCTGCAGGTAAATACACCAATAGGGCAGGTATGTGCAATCCACTCACTTTTTACAGTCTCTACCCTACCCTTTGGTGCAGAAGGAAACGTCAAGGTTGTTGCTTCTTTCTGCAATGGCAACTTTGTGGGACAGTTTCCCTCTCTACCTTAATTTTGGCTCTTTTTCCACTTATTTTTATTCTTTAAGAAGTTTGTCCTAAAAGTCAGACCTGCTGCTAAGGCAACCTCATTCATACTCAGCAACCCACAATGGCCTCAGAATAGGCACAATAGTCAAAAACCCATCTCGGTCTGCTGCAGAAGACCCAAGTTTACAAAGGAGTGTTTCAAGGCTCTGGAGAGCTTCACCCAAAGGGCAAAGGAGCTTCCCCTTAGAGCCGCATTGACTTTAGGACAAAACAGTTTCTTGCAAAATGATTCCAATTTCCAAGTGGCTCAATTCCTTAAGAAACTTCCTATTTTTATGGCTTGTTTTTTTCCTTACTACAAAACAACCAAAATGTAAGGTTCTGTTTAGGAAGAAAGTGTTAATTAGCACACCAAACTAATGAACAATTTTGACAGCACCCTTTCAGTTTTCAAATGAATTTGACGTTTTGCTGTGAGTATTTGCTATCCATGGATAAGACTCAGACTTTGCATATTGTTTTATGAGTCAGAGTAATCAAAATCCTGTATTTTCATTTTGATTATAGTAACCAAATTATGAAATGATTTCATTTGATTTTCATAATGTGTAGTTTCAAAGCAAAAATATATAGTATGTGTACATTTAAAGGAAAAAAGTCTTCATGTTGGTTATGTATTTCAAAATGACACATGAAGAATGGTCATTAACAGTCCAAACTCTCAAATACACTCAATAAATACACTTTATCTGTGGCTCTACTTTCATCTTCTATCATCACAGGATACACATTCTAAGAGGTTTCATCTTCTCATTTCCAAGATCCATAAAGGTGTTCTTAGCTACCTTCAGAGGTGAACTTCACGGCCATTAAATTGGCATCTTAATTGACACCACTGCCGATAAAATTGAGGCTTTCTTAGCAAGAGCTTAGGTACCCTGAAGACTCACAAGCATGACAGATGGGACATAGTCTCAGTTCTGTACCATAATATCAAATTTATACACCCAGGGTATATTTCATACCCATTGCTATGAACGTTGTCTCTTCAGCATTTGTAAAGGCAGTGTCTCCCATGAGATATTTGCTTATCTGACTATTTCATAGAATTTGTTCTGAACGACTAATAGATTCACTATTTTCCCCCATTTCTAGATATATTTTATGTTCAAATATTTTTATCATAATTTGAATTAAACATGGTTACCAAGTACTTGGCCATTTTCTCTCCTCCATGGTATAATATTGCCAGATAGCCCCACCAAAGGTATCAGTCTTTCCCGTTACCAGGATCACGAACAACATAGGTCTTTCTATAAAGAACTTATCATAGCCCTGGATATTTTGCTATAACAATACCAAGCCATCTAAAATATAGCTAGCATGCCCTGTCTATCTATTAACTATATACCTCTGTATCATTCTTATTTAAGTACCAAAGTGCATTATCCAAGTTTTTTTATGTGCAGTATTCCTCAATATAATAGATGAAATAAAATCTTCTATTCCTGTATTCAAGCTATTTTTCCAACATATTATCAATGTCATGGATTAAATTCTGAATATATTCCACATATATTTACTCTATAACTTCTTAGTCCTCCTGCTAACCATTCTGAATAGGCAGTTTGGGGTATTTGATGTATTGGTGACAGTCATGGCTGGCATAACCAGTGGACAATGAGGCAGAGGAATGGGGTGGATTTCCACCAGTTCCTGAGACAAAGGGGGGCTGGCATTTCATTCTTCTAGTGATCATTCACAGCCTTACCTCAAGGGATAGTTAGTAATAGCCCCTGGAAAAAGTCAAGTCAGGCATGGATAATTTCTGCTTTTCTTCTAGGTTTAACCTACTATTTGTCTTTGAAAAGTTTACTACCCAAACATGCATTTCAAAGGATGCTAGTAATGACTGTTGAAAAAAAATCTAAAATACGTAAGCAACTTGCTGCAGATTGTTTTAATGTAAACATTAAATACAATGTTTAGCTCTAAAATGGAGAATATTAATGAATGGAAGCTTTCGGGGAAAACAGGAACATATGATATACTGTTTTCCTCTGAAATATATTGGTATAGAAAGGGATCGGTTCTTCCCATTCACTGAGATAGGGTGCATGTCTTCATGCATTCCCATACCCTCTACAGAATCCCTGCACGAGGACTTTGATGTTCATACAGGATATGTCCAGCTGAAGGACGCATCCTCACAGTTAGGGTCAAGGACACCTTTTGTTCTCTGAATGGCTCTGGTGGTCTTTTGAAATATTTCTCTGTGTTGAACAAGGCATACTAGCCTCTACCCTACAGTAAGGTAGTATTTGTATTTTCATAGTTATATTTATGTGATTAGCATCATGCACCCCCTCCAATTGTGCTGCTCCCTGGTGGAACTTATTATATCAGCAGATAAGACCAGCTTACTCTATCTGACTGCATTCTCAGGATCCGCAAGATCGCAGCAGGGACTCCTCAGGGCTAAGATGCTTTCTTGGTGGAGAAATGGGTGGATCCAGAGAAAGGGCAGGGCCTCGGGTGCGCAATAATGTCAAAGTACTATTGACACTGACCTCGAAAATGGACAAGCACACAGACATCTAGCAAAGTTCTAGGCATCATAAATGCACGAAAATGAAAAGTCCAATTCAAATTCCATGGGATTAGAGAAGCCTCCTCAGGGTGCCTGTCTACACTGACTGCTGCCTGTCTGCTTACATCATGCCATGCTTCCACCCTTTAGTTACCTGGAAACACACCTCCTCATTTCTTGCAAGTCTGAAGCTATCTTTGAAGTCACTAATCTGCCAATGTCACACAGCTACCAACACTAGTCCTACTTCCTGGAGACAGTAAGGAATTTGTTTACAATTGCCAGGGGACTTAAAGCAGGGCTGGCAACTGCTAAGAACGTGTTACTTCATAGAAGAAGTGTCATGTTTTGGGTGGCCTTTCTTTTTAAAATAAAATCATTCATTCATTCTTCCTACATTTCAGCTGCAGTTTCCCCTCCCTCCTATATTCCCAGTTCCCTCCCTGCAAAGCCCCTTCTGGTCTCATTCAATACACTACTCCGTTTCTGTTTTGCAAAGATCAGGTGTCCCATAAGTATCAACAAAACACGGCATATCAAGCTGAAAAGACTAAGCACCTCCCCATGTATTAAGGCTGGGCAAGACAACCCGGGATAAATAGGGTCCCCAAAGCCAGTAAAAGAGTCAGAAACGACCCATGTTCCCACTGTCAGGAGTCCCACAAAAGGACCAAGCTACACAACTGTAACATATATACAAGTGGCCTTTTTAAAAGTATCCATTTATCTGATATTTGTTCTTTCTGCCAGTTGCTCTCTCTGCGCCTATGGATTTTTGTTCCCTCTATTTGCCATACAATACATCATTCTGAGAGAATGGCTCTTGCTAAGTCTGCCTTTCTTGCATTTTCCCTGGGATTTTCTTGGGCGGCTTTCATGAGCATGCGTATGATTTGATGCCGTTTAAAAATATTTTTGGAGAAATTTTCATTCCATTTTCATCTAAGAAGCTGATAGGTAATCAATGGCTTAGCTCAGTAGAAGAATATTTAGATAAAATATAAAATAATGCTCCTAAGACATATGAACTCAATAGACCTTCACAGTCTGGAAACCCACTCATCTTTATAGTAGCCAACATTTTGCTCACTTGCTACACTGCAAATTATGTCCAATAAGGTAGATCAATTTTACAGTTTTAAAAGTAACATCTATCTATATAACAATGCA